GTGAGACGCGCTCCTCCTGGGGCCTGGCGCGCGTCCCCTCCTGCGTGAGACGCGCTCCTCCCGGGGCCTGCCAGCTTCTCTCTTCTGGCCTCAGTCTCAGGGTTTGGCCCCCGGTTGTGTCGTCTTGTCTCCAGTGCTGGGCCAGGGCTGTGCTTTTCCTCTATTGCTGTGTCTCCAGACCTAAGTACCCTCCCACCCCTTCTCCTCACCCCAAACCCTTTAGTGCCCATGTCTTGTCCCGCAGAAACTCTTTTCTGGCCTTAAATCCAGTGATTTTGAGTCCTCATTTTATGACTCCTTTTTGTGTTTTTGTCTCAAGTGATGATGAGGAATTCCCCAAGCCAAGTTACATGCAACTCTCCTCCTGTATGTATGTGGATATGCACACGTGTATACGGGCGTGTACATGGGTACGTGTGCGCACACAGGCACACGTATGCACAGAGCCATGTGCACATATATGCTGCTGTGTGGCACCACCGAGCTGGGAGTGACTGGTTTAATGCATGTGTGTCATGAGGGTGTCATGTATGTCATCCTTTAAAGGATACTTAGGGTTCCCTGGTTTGGTGGGAACACTGGGCATCTGAGTTGGAAGAGTGAACACAGAGGAGCTGGGGACATCAGGACTGTGGGAATGTCTTGGAAGCACTTACTGTCTGAATGTATTTTTATCACAACTACCCTGAAAAAGGCCCCTGTGTGTCGTAGCATGTTTTGGGCACAAGGAAAGGTGAGAACTGGTTAGCGCATTTGAACAGGGATGGTGGGGGCTCCTCCTCCCTCCACGTAGTTTTGGGGTCAGAGCCTAGGATACCCAGTTTGTCCTACTGGCCAGCACACTTGCCCCGTAGCACCTCAGTGGGGCGACTTGAGAGGGTCCTGATGCATTCTCCATTCTCCTCACTGAATTGAGGTGAGGAAAGAGAGAGACCGCAGGTGGGTGCATTTGTGTTTATGTGAAAACACCCAGCACCCGTGAGATTAGGAGTGGGTTTTTATGGGTATGGACAGATATCTGGGCATGTAGGTGGACAGATGGATGCAGGGAATGTTCTTTTGAAAAATTCTTAGGCATATCATATTCAAAGAAAGACGACCCACAGTGCTATATTCAACTTTTCTTGCTGGAATCCAGTATAGAAACCAGGAATCTTGCCTTATTTACCCATTTCCTCTTTGGAACCCTTGACCTATATTTCTCCTTCTACCCTGGGCCCCCCTTATCCTTATATTGGCCACCAGACGTTCTCACCCAGACCAGGAGCCAGAGTTCCTAACTCCTGGCCCTAGGCCTCGGCCACCTGGTCCACCTAGCCACCTGGTCCAACCCTTTGCAGGTGGACCCTGAGCCATACCTGGATGTCTGTATTTATGACACCTGCTCCTGTGAGTCCACTGGGGACTGTGCCTGCTTCTGTGACACCATTGCTGCCTATGCCCATGTGTGTGCCCAGCACGGCGAGGTGGTGACCTGGAGGACAGCCTCACTGTGCCGTGAGTCCTGATGTTCCTCCCCCTCACCCCATGTCTCTAGACTTTGAGACCTTGTGGGGTGCAGGAGGCACCTTCGTGGGGGAGGAGCTGGAGCTCTAGTGTGGAAACGGATGGCCAAGGGCTAACGAGAGTTAAGACGTTGATATCAGTAAGGAGTCCATGTTATGGGGAGGAGGGACACGGATTCAAGACATTAGTACATGGAGACCTTTCTCCTGGAGACTTCTGGAAGAAGGAGAGAGGGAGCACCGATGAAGAGAAGGAAGTCAGCGTACATCTTTAATTAAACACTATCATCATGCCAATATGAGTGATCAACTCATACAGTTATGTCGAGTCTTCCTTCTTTGGGTATAAGCGACTTAATGCTTTTATATAGAAAATCAGTTCAGAAGCCGATTCCTGGTTTGGGGCTTTAAAAGTCCAGAAGTCGGGCTGAGCCCGTGGCGCATTCGGGAGAGTGCGGTGCTGGGAGCGCAGCAGCGCTCCCACCGCGGGTTCGGATCCTATATANGAATCCAGTATAGAAACCAGGAATCTTGCCTTATTTACCCATTTCCTCTTTGGAACCCTTGACCTATATTTCTCCTTCTACCCTGGGCCCCCCTTATCCTTATATTGGCCACCAGACGTTCTCACCCAGACAAGGAGCCAGAGTTCCTAACTCCTGGCCCTAGGCCTTGGCCACCTGGTCCACCTGGCCACCTGGTCCAACCCTTTGCAGGTGGACCCCGAGCCATACCTGGATGTCTGTATTTATGACACCTGCTCCTGTGAGTCCACTGGGGACTGTGCCTGCTTCTGCGACACCATTGCTGCCTATGCCCATGTGTGTGCCCAGCACGGCGAGGTGGTGACCTGGAGGACTGCATTTGAACAGGGATGGTGGGGGCTCCTCCTCCCTCCACGTAGATTTGGGGTCAGAGCCTAGGATACCCAGTTTGTCCTACTGGCCAGCACACTTGCCCCGTAGCACCTCAGTGGGGCGACTTGAGAGGGTCCTGATGCATTCTCCATTCTCCTCACTGAATTGAGGTGAGGAAAGAGAGAGACCGCAGGTGGGTGCATTTGTGTTTATGTGAAAACACCCAGCACCCGTGAGATTAGGAGTGGGTTTTTATGGGTATGGACAGATATCTGGGCATGTAGGTGGACAGATGGATGCAGGGAATGTTCTTTTGAAAAATTCTTAGGCATATCATATTCAAAGAAAGACGACCCACAGTGCTATATTCAACTTTTCTTGCTGGAATCCAGTATAGAAACCAGGAATCTTGCCTTATTTACCCATTTCCTCTTTGGAACCCTTGACCTATACGTAATAACTTCGTATAGCATACATTATACGAAGTTATACGATTTTCTAGGTTGAGTGTTTTATCTTTTTTCTCATCACACCACAGAAGTAGCCACCATGGGGGGAGTATTTGCCAGGAACGTGTCTCTTTTTGCTTAATTTTCTATGCAATACGCGGTGTGGCCGGTCTCAAAAAGGACACACACACACACACACAAAAAGAAAAAGTCCAGAAGTTTCTAGTATTGGTGACGCCTGTACTCCCTGGGTTGCCAGTGTGATCACCTCGTGGGCCTGGCTGCTGTCTGCTGGGGCCTTCACTGCAGTCCTGGCTACTCAGCTCGCGGGCCTGCCTGTGCTGTCATGGTCACAGCCTCTCCCCTGTCTGCACAGCCCAGAGCTGCGAGGAGAGGAACGTCCGTGAGAGCGGGTACGCGTGTGAGTGGCGCTACAACAGCTGTGCGCCCGCCTGTCCCGTCACGTGCCAGCACCCCGAACCGCTGGCGTGTCCCGTGCAGTGTGTGGAGGGCTGCCATGCACACTGCCCTCCAGGT